TTTAGATTCTCAACAATTTGTCGATAATAATAGAATCGGCAGTGGATTGGGNCTCCAACATTTTTATCACAAGTATTTTGTTTTTGTTTAAACTCACCATGCCATTTATTGACGGTCCTCGTTGAGTTTGTATACTTCCTATTTTTGTTCAATAGCATGTTCTTGGGTGCTTCGTTATATTTTCGAACATTTGAAGGTACAAAAACGAGCTGATGATGATTGTTCTGAGTTTTGTTCAAAAACATTTTATCGCCTTGTTTGTCCAATTTTAATCTCTTCGCATTGTATTCCTCGTTATCATCATAAGGATGACGACAACTGCGATATGTTTCTCCATGATCGAAATGGTGAATATGACAAATAAATTCCATGTTATGACGAGGCAGATGAAATTGTTTAATTCCATTATTGAAATTATTTTTATTCCTCTGTTGATATTGGTTATTTTGAAATAAATTGTTTTGATGCTGTTGTTGAAATTGTTGAAAAGCCGGCGCTAAACTGCGACATCGAATGTAATTATTATCGATTTAAGATTTGTTATTCATGACCGTAGGAAAATTAACGTTAGAAACAAAATTGTCGTTTCTTATTTGACAGTTCTTCTGTTCTTTTCCAACAGTAGTATTTAGGCCGGATCCGTGTCTTGCATTATAAAACGGTCCGAAGCCGTTGTGATGACGAAACTTAGAAAACTGATACTTTATTTACAAAAAATTTAAAAATTTATCGTAAAATATAATAAAATAAATTATGTTACTTTATGAAAAGATTCACAAAGTTTTATATAATTCGATTAAAATATAAACGCAAATATAAAAAATTGAAATAATGAAAAATAATTGAAGAACACCGAAGACGATTTATTTGTTATAAAGGCGGTCAAAAATTAACCAACCCTAATCAATGAAGATATGTGGCAAAAGTGGTTACCTATATACATAAATTTATCCACAGATACAAAAGTAGTTCTTTGTTTGCGTAGGTCGTAAATTTTTTTTAAATTATCCTCGATTTGTAAAAGTTTATTAATTTCAGCGTTTTGCCTTAAAAATTTATTTCGTTCGCCTATGTCGTAAAAATTTATTTCTTTTGTCTTTCTTTGTATTTTGGTATAAATAATAAACAGATAGATTAATTTTCTTCCGAATAAATAATTGCGTAAATTCTGATAACCCAGTAACTGATTAATTTATAGTTTTAGTGAATAGCTCATGGATATATATACAATATATTCGTAAAAAATTTACAATTATCTTGATTTAATTAATCTTTTTTCTGCTTTAGCCATGAAACGAAACTTTTAAAAAATGAAAAAAAAACCAAGAGTAATGAAATATTTGAAAAATATCATTCGAATAATATTACATCTTTTGTCATTTAAACAGCCCATTAGTAATGAATTTGATATAAACTAATACACATTAGGTTGTTATTGTAAAAAGCAGTATATACATATAACATTATATTCCAGAAGTTTCAATATATTAATTAAAAATAACAAATAAATTAACAAGCCGAATATTTAACAAAGTCTTAAAATATGGTGCACGTTTCATTCCGTTTACAATTTATTTCCATTTTAAATAAATAAATACATACAATAAATACAATAAAATCATGTTTTGATTAGTATTTAATTAACATTAATATCAGGCTAAAAATTCTATCTCTGCTTGGTAGGATCACTTGGCTTCCAAACAGGAACATGCAACTTGGGCAGAGGAGGTACTCCCAAAATCATGTCTGCTGCTTTCTCTGCCATCATTATTACCGGAGCGTTCAAGTTACCACTGAGAATGCTTGGCATGATTGAAGCATCGACCACTCTCAGTTTGTCTATTCCTAAAACACGACATTTTGAATCTACAACTGCACTTTTATCGTTTTCAGAGCCCATTTTGGCAGTACCGCAGGGATGATACGCAGTTTCAGAAGTACTCCTTACAAAACTGTCAATCTCATCATTTGAATTTAGCCTTAAATTTTTATCTAAAA